TCAGACTTTTATTTCTTCTCCTTTGTTTCCTTCTTATGTTTCAAAGTCTTCTTGGCATCTCTTTCTACCTTGGATGGTTTTCGCCTACCCATTTTTTGGTCTGTGCAAATCTGAAAAGAGAAAGATGATTTGGTTAAGCTATATGGTACTTGCACTTATAGAGAAATTTTCCTTGGAAAAGATCTGCAAAAATCTTATGTCCATGCTTCTCGAGCTTTACTACCTATGCTATAATGTCTGAATCTCACTCTAAACCATCTTAGAATTTGTAGTACGAATGCTTATTTATCAAACATGTTTCTGTCTTTTCAGTGATTTTTTTTTACTATTTTCTTTCAGAGCATAATCTTTTTTTTTCCTTTTGTCTCAAAACTTCTTTCTCTTTTTTCTTTATTTACTTTCTTTCTTCTTTCTTTCTTTTTTGTTTTCTTTTTATTGATGACAAAAGGAGGGGGGAATTATATGAGAAATATGGAAGTATTTAAAGAGTTTGACAAAAATACATTTTCTATGTGAGAATGTGTTTTATCAATATCCTGAACCCAAATTATTCAACTTAATCATCTTATGATTAAAGTTGTAACAAAAAGTCTGTGAAATATGAAAATACTTAAAGACTTTCATAAATACGTTTTCTATGTGAAAATGTGCTTTCAAGATTCTGAATTCAAGACATTTTCTATGTGAAAATATGCTTTTATCCAGATCCATGGTGTAACAAGAAGTATTTGATTTTACGCTTAAATATTTTAAGACTTTTATAAAGACATTTTCTATGATAAGATGTGCTTTTGTAAAGATCCTGAATCCTCAACTTAATAAAAATGTGCTTAAAAGTTGTAGAGGGTGTTTTAATAACTTGGATAGTATATTAAGGGAAAGCTTACAAAACTCAACCTGTGAATTATTAAAATACAGAGAGAGCTTACAAACCTCAGGCTATGAACTCAATTTAATAAAATTGAATTAATAATTTGGACAAAATCTAGGTAGAGCTTACAAAACTAAACCTATGAACTGTTAGACTCAGGGGGAGCTTACAAACCTCAAACTCTAATGTTGTCAAGTTATTAATCAAAATGGTTTAATTAATTAGGATAGAACATAGGTGAAGCTTACAAACCTCAACCTATGGACTGTTAGACTCATGGGAGCTTACAAACCAAAACCTTTGTTGTTGTCAAATTATTAAAACTAACCAACCAATTGTTCTTAAAATACTCATGTTTGTCATCATCAAAAAGGGGAAGATTGTTGGAATAAAATATATTCACGCTAATTGAGTGCATACTTCTTGGGTTTTGATGATAACAAAAATACTTAAAGAATAATAGGGTATACTAATGTTTGATTAAGTGTGCGGGATCATTAAGCTTATAATTAACTTGGTTTTGGCCTAGTTAAATAGCTTGTAAAGAAGAAGCAAGTGAAACCAAATTTTACCGGATCAGAACCTGAGTTTCAAGATAAACCTCAGTGCCATATTGAAGCTTTTGATATTTGAATATAAACTCAATTGTTATGTTGACTTTGCCTCTGATGATTCCAACGGAACTAAACTCCTTGTTGGAAGCACAAGTACAAATCTCTTTTTTTCGTATTCCGTGCAAAAGTAATTACATCTTTCTAACGACTTGAATTATGGAGGAAGTATTGAACAATTAGTTTAGGCACTACTACAAAAATCGCTTTTAACCTCGGACGTGAAATGCATTTAACCTCGGCTAAAGAAGCGAGGTAACCAGGGGCATCATGAAAAGTATCAACTTAACACCTCGGTTTTTAAAACATCAAGGGGAAAATTCTTATGCACATGTTGTCAAACCCCTACCATTGCACTTTTAATATTTTCAAAATTAGCGCATCAAATCTCTCGGTTCATCAATAACACTGAGGAGTAAGATTGATATATATTTTTTGAATTTCGTTAAAACTACAGAATATTAATAAATTAATTTTTTACCCATACTATTACATTGTTTACATATAATATTTTTGTAAATATATATAAAAAATTTGGAATCTGATTCATCATCACCACTGTTGGTGAAGATCGGATGTTGGATCCTCGTTTCATTGAAATGTTGGGAAAGAGAAAATGTTGAGTGCAATATATTTCAGATCCCTTTTACATGTATTTGTTCCTGGTATAAGAAAAATGTTAGTTAAATGAATGAATATATGATTATAGAAGAACACCATAAAAATTTGATTACTGAAGAACACAAACCTTAAACTCAATTAATTTTCTGCTCTTGCAATCCATCGTAGATAAGTTTATCGAGTATTTTAGGTTTCAAAGTTTTCATATTATGATTCATTAACAAGTATTGATATTCAGAATACGTTTATAACGGATGTCAGTTAAGTGTCGCGCGTATCACTAATTGAAGTGACATGAGCGTTGATACTCATGAAATGGATGACAAAAATTTGTTTAAGGATGGTGATAAATATCCTAAATAATCACGACTGAATTAACTTCTAAGGAGCTATTTGCTCTAAGTAAGGAGTTACCAGTTCCAAACATTGGAAATGTTTTTTATGTACTTGCAATCCATCATAGAGAATATTTACGAGCTTTTTTATGTTCCAAAAATTTATTATCTTGAAAAAATGTTATCAACGCCTATGCTTTCACAAGAAAGATATATAGTGATGAGTGTAGAATTTTGTTGTGGATTGATGTCTTGGCAATAACTCGAGTGTTGTTCCTTTAAGAATGTAGGTATAGATTCATTGTTGTAGTTGTGTAACATATTACCTCAGTTTTTCAAAAAACAGAGGGGAAACATATTTTCTATTTTAAATAGAAAAATAAAATAAAATAAAAAAGCCCATTGGTTTTACCAAAAAACCGAGGTGAATAATATCTATTTTTTAATATTATATTGTTTGCACAAAATATTAAAAAAATTCAGATTCATCATCTTCAGCGCTGCAATTCCAAATTTTGTTGGAAATATCTTTTCAGAGGTTGCTCCTAAGAGAAGAATGATTTTTTGCACTTGCAATCTATCATAGAGAACTTTGCAAATATTCTTTAACATAGAGTTGTTCCAAAAATACAACATCAACACCATTATGTGAGATAGATTGCAAGGACGGAAAAATGTTTTGTTCAAGCATATAAGAAGATTGAAGATTTTTCTGTCTTGCAATCCATCCCAAAGAATGATGCATGCGAGTTTGGGACAGCTTCATATAAGTAAGAATTAGGGTAAAATCAGTTTAACGAGTGTAGTAAAATCTGATTATGTTATCCCTTGGTTTTTAACGAAATCGAAGATATAAAGCATTTAGTATTCACTTATAAACAAATAAAAACATAAATTGCAATAGTTGAGATTCGAAGTGTGTCCTGGTGTATCCTGATTTGTTTCCCCCCCCCCCCCCCCCCCCCCCCCCCCCCCCCCCCCCGATTTTATTAAAACTCAAGGGGTTTGTTATTTTTATTTTTATAAAAAAATAAAACATGGCGCGCCTTGGCATAATACCTGGTGTTTTTTCTAGCTAAGGTAAAAGCTTCGTCATGAAATGTATTATTTGTTGTAGTGAGGCAATAAAATCTCTTTTAAGTTTGATTGAGCAAAGAAGTCCTGGACAATTGGTTTGGGCAAGAAGTCTCTTTCTAGTGAAATTAAGCAGGAAGTCTTGGACTGGTGTGTTTAAGTAAATTATAATCATCTACTGATTATAGTGAAAAGCTCTTGTGTGACAAGGGGACAAGACTGCTGTCATTATAAAGGAACCAGTATATGTTTTGTTTGTGATTTACTTATAACTTCTGCAACTTTAATATTCCATTGATGCATACTCAAGCTTAAAATCTGAACTTGGTCAGATTCAGAAACTATTGTTTAAAAAAACTTAAATTATCAGTTACACAATTCAATTCCCCTTCTTATATATTTTCTCACCTTCAGTGTGATCCAAAACCAAAACTTTTAAATCTCAATATTTGTGTTGCATCAAGGAGTTCCAAACTATATTTGAATCATAGATCATCCTCCTATCCTATTTAACAAGCAAAGTCATATTCAAAAGCTCACAATTTTTAATACCACCTTCAAGTTTTTGTTTGCACATGGAGTTTCATGAGACTTAGTTAATACATTTTTTGTTCTCCACACCACTCCAAAGAAAAGCCCGCTGGATTCAAATAATCTCTTTAACGACCCGAGATGGAGCTTTGTAGAAAGATAATAGAAGAGGGGATAGAGAGCTCAAAACAGAATTAATTAGTTACCCTTCCTGCTAAGGAAACTCTTTTCTCGAGATGGAGCTTTTGTTTGTGTTGATTTGGAATGTTATGTGTTGCTAATGAAATTTAAACATGCTTCGAGAAGTATTTATGAAATCCTTAAAGGCTTATTACATTGATATTTAATTTAGTCGTAATTATTTAATCAATTTTTTTTCATAATTGAGACAATCCGTCAAGATTACTTTTTTTGAAAATCTCTCTTAAATTTTCAATACATTTTCCTTGTACCTAATAGTTAACGAAATTTATTTTGTTTATGTATCATATCATGCCTTCTTGAAAGTTATAGCTTCTTCAGAAATCCTGATATTTGATATAGAGGGAAATAATCGTTTGTAGACTTAAAGTATAAATAAATATATCAATTATTAATTGATTTAGTGATAATTAACATTGAATTTAATAGAGAGAATTACAGTTCAATCTTCTGCAATTGCGATTGAAAGAGAGTTAGTATCACTTTAATGCTTGAAAGAAAAAAGTACAAATAAATATATAAAAGTCAATTTTTAATTAAGAATAAGTAAAAATATCTGTTACAATTTATTTGCATCGTTGTAAAATCAATTGTAACATCATCAAGAAATAAACAAAACATCGTCTTCTGCCACTAATACGGGATAACATCAAATTTTTGAATAGCCAAGGTAAGAATTAAAACTCAAATAAAAAATACTTAAAATAAAAGTAATAAAATGAAACATATTTCATATTTGATCGACAGTAAAACGATTCAAATAGAATTGTGATGAAGAACCTCAGTAATTAACTTATGAAGATTATTGTACGAGGATCCTCCAAAATCAGTTGTCTTTTTAGATATCTTTTGCCACTCTAAACTCTTTTGTTTCATTTCTTTTCCATTTTCTCCATCCATCATTTCCATCACAAGTTCTGTTATCTCTTCTCTTTTCACATCATTGTTAATTTCCATTCCTGTTTTCCAAGTGTTGCATAAATACCTACAGTTTGTTTGTTGTTCAGCAAAGAAAGGCCAACAAATAGTAGGCACACCTGAAGAAATAGATTCAATTGTAGAATTCCAACCACAATGAGTTAGAAAAACTCCAATTGATGGATGAGCAAGAACTTGGTCTTGAGAGCACCAACTAGTTATGTATCCTCTATCCTTAACTTCATCTAAAAACTCTTGTGGCAAACTTGAAGTTTCTTCACCCATTACAACATCTGACCTCATTATCCATAAAAATGGTACCTTGCTATTTGCTATTCCCCAAGCAAATTCTTTCAAGTGATGATTTGTCATAACAGTTACACTTCCATAATTAACATATAAGACCGAGCTAGGTTTCCTTTTATTCAACCAATTTATACATTTTGGATCACTTTTCCATAAACTTGAACCGCTTGCTTTAAAACCATATTCCTTTTCTAAAAAATGTCTTCCGAGCAAGTGAAGTGGACCAATACTATATATGTTTGGATTTTTTCTCCTAAAAATTTTAAGAGATTCACCTTCCAATTCTTCAAATGTGTTGATTATAATTGTTGATGAATTCAAACAGTTTTGTGCCTCGGAACCCATGTAATCAAACATAATATCATTTAGATCAGTAACTCTAATAAAACTTGGAAGATCTTTTAGTTTAATATCTTTCATTCCTGGAATCCAATCTATACTTTGATCCAAAGTGCCATCGACAATAAAATTTTCATCTAAAAAATCCACAAACATAATCAAGTTACTCATAACAAATTTAACTATATGAATATTAAATATTACTATCATTTTTGTTCATACAGTTTTAAATTATCTATAATACAAATCAGTATGTCTCCTCCTAACAATATACTGTTTCTTTGATAAAATATAATTTAGAGTTAAATTGATTTTGATATAAGAAATCATCAAATTTAAAAATTAAAATAATGTGTTTCAATTTCAATTTGATAAAACATGATCAGATTAAATAGCCTATCCATTTCTTAAAAATTAATTCAAATGGATGTAACCCAAGAGAGTACTACTAGTATACCTTTGAATGGAAGAATGCCCCTTTTGACAAGTTCATCATAATGCAAATATCCCAGAAATCCACAAGCAGAAGCTGTCCAAAACTGTAACTCTTGAATGCCCAATTCCTTAGCCACTCGTCCAGCAAATCCCAAAAGGCCATCAGCAATTATGCAAGTAACAGGAATATGAGGTGATGAAGTGTTAATCTTATTTATAAGATCTTTGAAAGGAGCATAAAATTTTGTTCTAATTGCATCACTCAATTGTGGAACATCTTGTGTTGCGTCTTTATCTGATTCTGGCAAACCATCAGGTATGGTCTCAAATTGAAAATCTGGGAGACCTTTCACAAACTCTTCTCCAAGAGATTTTATCAAACGTTTGTGGTTGAACTCGGTGTTGACAAAGGTTATGTGAAAACCTTTGCAACGGAGGAGTTTTGCTAGTTGCATTAAGGGATTGACATGACCCTGTGCAGGATATGGTATAAATACAGCATGAGGCTTTTGGGTATGTTTAGGAGTAGACTCCATGAAATTTAAATTGTTTCTTTGGGAGTTATTAAAACTTGTACAATGGTGGTGATGGATTTAGTTTGCCTATCATGTCGTTTATATATAATGTAATGTTAAGAATCATGTTAGGGAATATCCACTTTGTTTTATGTTTATAAATATAACGGAGTATACTTTTGTTTTGTATTGATAGTTGTTAGTGAATATCCTTATTGTAGAATTAGAATATCAAAGAAGCTATGTCTTGAGATGAGTTAGAAATAAGAATGCAGGGGCGGCAAATTGTCTAGTATATGTATACTGAATAATGAATATGGACATTAATTAAGTTACAAGCTTTTTCTTTTAATTATGTCTTCAAAATGAGAAAGGAAATGGAGGAAGACAAGAAAGAATACCGTTGAGTGTAAAAGAGGCAGAAAATTGAAGAAAGAAACATAAATATTGGTTGATTGATTGATTGTTTAATATATTATTGATTTATGATTGAGGCCTCAAAACATATTTATTGGAAGACGTAACTATCTAAAATTGATCTCATAATAATTTTCTTTATGTGATGTTATAATTACAAACAATCTACTACTTAATTAAGAATAAAAGATGCTTAGGCACTTTCATTCTTACATTTTTCTCAAAAAAAAAATGTATACTACAAAATATTTTTATTGGTAATTTACTAAATTCATTACCACTAACTAATAATATGTATCTATTATGTTTGTTTCATTGAACATTGTCGTCGACCCAGTTTATGGGTTGTGGTTTCGATTTCCTTGATACTCTCTTTGTATTCTCATCATCAAATTCACTTTTTTCTTGTCATAGTTTGTAGGTATGGGGTGGAGAGGGATTCTCTGAGGGTTTTGAAGCTAATCTCATGTTTCAAAGTTTCTTATAGGTACATTTGATAGGCACATCTTAGTTTTTTTGACGATTTTGATTTTTGGTTTCTTTAAGTTGATGAAACTTTATGTTGATATTTGTCTATTCTGTCTTCAACAGTGATTCTAGGGTGTTAATGTTCAAATTAGAAGTAGTGATCAATGGGGAAATATAACAGCTGGAACTGAGTTGATAAGGAAGATATTGGAGATAGAAGGTGTTAGTGCTCCCTATGGTAAAGTTCTCCTTTTATATGAAGGAAAAAAGAATAAGGTATTGGTACAAATAGTGTGATTAGATTTAATACATAAATATTCTTTGAAGAGTGTTTTATTTATTCCGTTTGTTTGTTGTATGTTTAGTTAATCTATCTTAGTGGTTCTTATATTCCCCCTGCAGGTTACGCTGGTGTTCCGAGACTTATCTTGGCTGGTAGCTTTGGAGCTTCCATGTACTTCATGACCAAAAAGAATGTCAAGTTAGGTAAGGAGCTTTCTCACGCGTATTAATTGTGTGTTCATAATATCAGTTTTCACATTTCATTAAAAATTTTGTTTCATGAGTGTTGATATTCATATAAGTTCTTCTACATTTTTGCAGGGAAGGCTACTGTTATAACCATATGAGGGCTGTAGCTGGCGTCGTAGTAGGGTCAGTTGTAGAGAATTGGTTGCAGATAGATATCATCTCGTTTCTGGGCATACACTCCCATGCCATTGCTGTTAGCGAAGTCATACTTTTATCCCAATTCTTGGTATCTATATGCCTAAGGTAGACAAAAAAACATGGCGATCTTTATATTAAAATGTGAAATTTGTAATTATTCATTTCCATGATCATGTCAAAGGGTTTACAGGGAATGCTACTAATATATAACCATATAGTTGACCCTGTGTCAGTTGTACATAACCGGTTGGAGTAGAAATTATTCCATTTCGGGCATACACTTTCCTGCAGCTCTTAGTGAAACAAACAACTTTACAGCATCAAGCAATTTAAAATTTTGAGTTTCAAGAACACTTTAACACTATAAATTAATGAAAAAAATATTTCTAATTAAGAAAACTAAGAAAAGTTTATTGCTTGTAATCAGTTTTCATTTATATGTTAACATTTATAGAGACTTTTCAATTTTCTCATTTTTGTGAATGAACTTGAAAACAAGTAACATTTCAAGTTCACAAAAATAACTTCAAGTGATAATGCTGGAAATTCTGGTTGTGTTAGATCTATGATGAAAATAGAATTTGAATTTGCTTTTGAAAGTCACATGCAAGAGAATGTAGCATGCATGTGTTTATCTTGAAATTCAGTAAATAACCGTTAGTCTTCCAAAACAAAGATAATTTTGATTACTCACAGAATCGACTAGATTGATCCTAAGATATGTGTTTAGTTTTAGTAATTTATAGTTTTCGAATGTAATGGTTAATTGGTAAGTAAATGTAAAACTATGCGAATAAATAACAGGAAAGTGAAAAGATTTTGATTTGAATGTAAAAGTAATTAAAAGAACTTTTGTAAAGGTAAATTGACAATTGAATAAAACAAGGTGATTCATACGTACATTCTCAGAAAAACTCTTTTCTCGGTAAGTTAGTACTTTGAGTAAAAAATTGAGTATTTGTACAGAATTTGAACACATTAAAATACTAACAAAGATTATAATTTATACTAACTCGACCATAACGGTCTTTTCATAAAAGAATGTCACGTTTGATGTTTGCATTTTCTTGAATCTTCAGACTTTCATACGTCTTTTTGGATAAGATCAAACTATTTGAATTTAAAATATTCTTCCTTTCGAGGCGCCAAATCAACTAACGTGACTTGTCGAAATATTCATCTTCGTAACTTTAAATATTATTTGTCCCACTTATTCACGAAAATAACCATTTCGCTAATATTTAAGAAGACTAATCTATCCATAGACCTGTTATTCAAAATCTTTAGGAAATATTCTCATATTTCTTATAGAGCTAACTTTCCTTCGACGTCCTTTATTTCTCCTTAATATTTTCGACCGTCGAAATTTCCAGCTAACAGCATGGCACACCAATATGTTCACATTATTATATCATCAGTCCAAAGGGTATTTGTGATACGGTGGCAGAATTGACTGTTATACTGGTTTTGCGTTTGTATTCGCAAATGTTGCGGTAAGCAAGAGTCGCCACCGACTTTTCTTTTATCCAAATTAAGGAAATGGTGAAAAGAACAGAAAAAGACTTTTTCGAAAATTTTCTGAGCAAGGGGGGTAGATTATGGAAAGGGAAGATTTAGCACCCTTTCTATCCGTAGTTTTCTACGGGCTCTTAGATGCTTAGCTTATTTTTAAAATACCTTTGTGCTTTTGTGTGTTTTCAAAAAAAAAAAGTATTTTGAAATTTCCTTATTGCGGCGATTCGATTTATGATAACTCTTGTATCAGTCCTCAAGAGTGTTGATAAAGCACTTTTTGAAAGTATTTTTGGAATGTCTTGCGTAAGTGTGAGAATTTGTTTTGAGCAAGCATTTAAGAATTATCTACTTATACTCGAAATGTTTGTTCTTTTCCTCCTTTCCTTTAGATAGTGTTATCCTACTATTAGTGAGTAGGTAGCGCTATCGTTGGATGTTTGAGGGACATTCGAAGGGACGTACAGTCATAAAGGTAACATATAGAGACGCTTTAGCAATTTTATTTAAGGGACTAGGTTATTTACCGAAAGGCAACATTGTTGGGTCATCGAGGTACTATGATCTTTTGATTTAAGGGTCTTTGCTAAAGGATCCCCATTTTCAAGGGACATGACTGTTTTATTTTCCGAAAGGCAACCAAAGTGGGCGTACCCTAGAGGTGTATATGTGAAAGTGTGTTATGTTCAGTTATTTTAGTCTTAGATGTTAGGTTTGCTAACGTTTGACTATTAATTTTGTCATACAATCCTATTAGTCTAGCAGTAATATATACAGTAATTTAAAGTGCAAGAATTTATATTTACGTTATTACAATCCTTCGGGGAGGGGGATATTTACATGTCCAACAATGTGGGAAAATAAAGAAAACGGTAAAGTAATATACTAATTAATTCTATTACATCCAGTAGACAGATACAAAAATATGAAAATAGAAGGGAAATATTGAACTCGCACGAAATGGAGAAGAACGTCTAAAACCCTATGAATTATTAAGTAAAATAAAATCTTTTGGTTTTTGTTTATTCTAAGAAAATACTTAAAATTAAATTAAATGAGAAAGACTAAATTTAATCCTAATTAATTAAATAAATAAAATAAAACTAATTCTAATATTTTTTTTTGTATTTTTGTTAAGAAAATATTTGAATTAGATAACCTATTTCTAATTGATTTTAAATTAATTAAAATAAGTCAAAATAATTAAGTAAATTAAATTATGAAAACTAAATTAATTTGAAAAATCCTAAATATATTATTTTTTATGATTTTTGATTTTATATTATTCTAAAAAAATGATTAAAAAAACAATTAAACAAATAAATAAAGAAAAAAAGTAAATGGGCTTGACACAAGGCAGAAAGGGGGTGCAATCTTGAAAACGTGAGGCGCGTGTTAAGCTGGCCCAGAGGCTGTATTGGATCTGGTGAGAGGGTCCTTTGAATGCCTATGGTGGGGGTGCATGTTTGTTGCGCTTGGATCTAAACGTGTTGACCTCTGATGATGTAGATTTGATGCTACATGGTGCGCGTGTATAGCTTGGCTGCACTGGATCTGCAAAGAAGAAATGGAAAAATAATATGCAAGAGGAAGGGGTCGAACCCCTTCCCTTGCACACATATAACTCCTTAACACATACACACCCAACTGTTGGGACGGCTTTACATCCGGGAGTATATATATCAAATGATTATAATATAATGTAAAACGAGTAATAGTGCTGAGTTGTCATACACGCACGTTTCAGTGGGGTCCAAATATTTGAATGGACTAATCATTTTGTTCCATCTGTCTATGCAGGCGTCAACGTCGGTCAAGCCACCGGGAGTGGTGGCTCCGGTCATCCCTTCTGGTTGCTCAAAATCTCTAACCTGCGAAAATCAAACACAACAAGAACGAAAATCACCCTACTCCCCTAATTTGGGGTCTACAAATTCAATGGTGACATTTATTTG